ACCCTTCCAGCCAGGAATTCCTAACTCCCAATCTCCCATCCATCCCTGCCTCTGGCAGTGGGAAGCTGTTCCCCCTTGTCCTGTCCCTCCAGCCCTTGTCCAAAGTCCTGTGCAGAGCCAGGAGTTGGACTCGGTGATCTTTGTGGATCCTTTCCAACTCAGGATATTCTGTGATTTTGATATAATTAAAACATTAATTCCAGGGGGAGGGAAGAGGGCAAATTGAAATGCAGCTTCGAAATGTTAGCTTTCACTTCTTTCCAGGCTCGTGTTTCTAGTTCAGGATTTATACACAGGACAGGACACTGGGGAGCCCCATGGGAATTTGTGTCCTCTGAGTTGGGAAGATTTAATTTCTCAGATATGTGCCTGCTCCTGAGAAAGTGCTGGGGGAAGTCACATCTCAGGGTGGTCAGACACTGAAATGATAATTGTTTCCATTCACTGTGTCTTTGTGGTGTCTTTGGCTTTGAGCTGATGCTTTGCAAAGCTCAGTTAGGTTTGACTGTTATTTAGCACCACAGCTTTAAAACTTTGAGAGTTCTGGGTCTCAAAAGCTTTTTTTTTTTAAGGGGTTTTAGAAGAATCTGATTTGAGGGAAGAGGAAAAGCTGAGAGACTGGGGTAGCTCAAATTGCTCCATGTTCTTCCTGGAAAAGTGATGTTTGTTCTCTTGGAAGTCACCTGGCACAGCGAGGAGGTGACATCCAGTGAGTGAATACTGGATATTAGGGTGACAAAAACTCAGCACCGTGGGAGGGATTTAATATTCCATGCTGTGATTTTACATTCACCACGTAAATGTAATTTTATAGAACCTTGGGAGCTGCTGAGACTGTCCCAAAACATCGCAGGCACCTTTGTGTGGCTCAGCTTTTCCCTCTGTGCAGGACATCGTATTTATATCAAAGGGCTGCTCTGAGGATTAATTAGGAGTTGATTACAGCAGGAGGCTGTGGAGTTACTGCAGAAAGCTCTGAGTGTGGGGGCAGCACAAGCCTGTTCCTTTATTAGGAGCTGAGATCATCCTGAGTGGTTAATCCTTGTCTGGAACCAGCCTGAGGAGCTGGGCATCAGCCACAGGTGAGTGCTGGATGTTCAGCCTGAAGCTTGGGAAATGTTTTGGCTTGGTGCTTCTCCTGTGCAAACCCCCCTGCAGCCCTTCCCAGCCACACAGGGATCCCAAAATGCAGGAACTCTGCAAGTGCAGGAGGGTAGCCAGCCTTCACTCCCAGCTTCCCTGTCCCCAACAAACGTGTGCTTTTTGTCTTGCAGTACGTTCAGGCAGATGCTCCTACCAATAAAACGTTGGCTGGGCTGGTGGTGCAGCTGCTGCAATTCCAGGAAGATGCCTTTGGAAAACATGTCACCAATCCTGCCTTCACAAAGCTTCCTGTGAGTATTGGGACTCTCACTCTGCTGGCACAGCTCAATGTCCTGCTCCTGGGACATCCCTGCTCCAGCCCAGGCTCCTCCTGGTGCAGCCTCTGGAAGGGCTGGAGTAGCACACCTCTCCTTAGTGCAGATTTTCAGTGTAATACAGCTTATTCCCTGTGTATTAGAAATGATTTCTGGAATGCTGTGAGAAGATTTTCATTTCTGCTGAAACTCAGTGTAATTAAAGTCAAATCTGGACTGGTGCATCCTAAACGGAGTGAGTAAAATGCACTCTCCAGGGCAAACAAGCTCCCATTAGGTGTTCTGGTTGATGAAGCTCCAGACTTGTGAAGTTGCCACGGCTGAGAAAGGACTTTGCCACGTTCTGCAGCAGCAGTGAGCTGCTGGCCCTGGGATGTTTCTCCAGTCCCTCGGGACACAGGTAGCCAGGAACAATGTCAGCTCTGTGAGGGCTGTGCTGTCACTCTGCAGCCTGGTGCCCTGCCCACCACCACAGGATCAGCTTCTGGGGAGGGGATGCAGACAGAGGGGTCTGGGAAGAGGGAAGGGATGCCAGCCTGATGCCAAGGCCCAGCTGGGTGATTTAGGGGAGGTCTGTGGGCCAGGACAATTGTCCTAAACCTGTCAGTGTGGCACCAGCAGGGAGGTGTGTGCTCATCTTTGCCACAGGATGTGTGCTGGCCTTGGGGGTCGTGCCTCTGGGGTTCTTTGGGGTGGGTGCACAAAGCTGGAATAATTTATAGCCAATTAAGGTGTTGAAGCCCATTGAAACTGAAGTTGGCTTGAAAACTGTTGGCAGAACTCCTGTGGTGGGTGCACATGACAGGGCAGTCCTCTTTTTGTTCTTTGCTGGTGTCCCTGCAACCTCTCCATGAGGGTGGGACATGCACACTCCTTCACTGGAAGGGTTTTCACTCATGGGGTGAATCCCAGAACAATTCCCAGATGAATTTTGGAAGGAATCCTTCCTTTTGAGAGTGCTAAGGCCCTGGCACAGGTGCCCAGAGCAGCTGTGGCTGTCCCTGGCAGTGTCCAGTGCCAGGCTGGACATTGGAGCACCCTGGGGCAGTGGGAGGTGTCCCTGCCCACACCATGGGGAGTACTGGATGAGCCTTAAGCTCCCTCCAACCCAAACCATTTTGGGGTTCTGTGAATCTCCTGGTGCTTTGGAGTGCACCCAGAAGCACCCCAAGATCTCACCACCCCTCCTGATACCTCAGTGATAGTGGGAAGCTTTAGGGACAGGGAGAGCTTTGCAGAGCTTTATTTGGATGTGGCAGCACAAACCATAAACCTGCCCACATTCCTCAAGTGCATAAACCACTGGAGTGCTCCCAAGCCTTAAATCAATTTGTCTTATCTTAAAAGTGGGCAATAAACGTTGCAGTGGCATCATAAAGATGTTGTTCCTGTGTTTGTTCTCGCTGCTTCAAAGCTCTAATCTGGCCAAATTTGCTCAGGTTAATTTACAGCACTTGGATCTCGGTTACCTCCAGCAGGAGACAACTCCTCAGTGCATCTCCAGGGGTGCTGCTGTTTGTGGGGGTCTCTTCTGCTGCCAGCAGAAAGCCCTTGGCTCTGAGCAGCTCCCCAAATTCTGCTTTGTACCTTGTCCAAGTTTTTTATATTTACTGGGAAACACAGAATAATCCATGACCAAAGCAGATCCTGGTGCTGTCTGTCCCTGTCCTGCCTTCAGCTGCCCCATCCACCTGACTCCATTTCCAGCAGCTCTGGACTCTGACCACAGGCACAACCATCCTGACCAGAGAGAGCAGGAAAAATGCAAATCCCAGACTAAAATGTATCAGAAAAACTGAGCTTTCAGTGCAGGAAACAGGGTGGTTTTTGATAACCTTTCAGAGAAAGGACTTGGTGGGACTCCAGAGCTTCCAGCCTCCTCGTGCTCCTGTTTGAATGTTGTGGAATTGCTGCTTTGGGAATGGGTGGCTCAGATGTGCTCTGGTGAAGCTGAGAGGGAAGAAATGAGCTGGTTTTGGTGTTTTGGGGCAAATCTGCACAGCTTTCCCTGGGGGAGGGATGTGAGTGTGGAATATCTGAACTCTGCTTCAGGTGCTCATTCCTGCTGATCTGCTTTGATGCTCTCATACAGATGAAAAGCTGCTTCCCTGACAGCTGCAATGTGTGAGGTTTAATTTACTATGAAATGGGTGTTCAAAGTGTACTTTGGGTTTTTACAGCTCTGCAAGGAAGGACTTGGAGCTTTCAGATACATCACGTTTTTTCAAACACGGATTTCTGCTTAATCCAAATACATTTAATCTTCAGAAAAATTCTGAAATGAGAACCTCAAACTCCAGAAGTGTTTCATCTGAAAATTAACTTTTCCTTTGATATGTTCTATGTCTAAAGCTCAGCTAACCCATATGTATTTGTTTAAAATAATTGCATGAAAGTCAGTATCACTGTTTTTCCTTGTTTTTTGGGTTTCAGGCAAAGTGCTTCATGGATTTCAAAGCTGGAGGTACATTATGTCACATTCTTGGTGCTGCTTACAAATATAAGAATGAACAGGGCTGGTAAGTTTTTATTTGTGGTTTATACACCTTTTGCATGAAACCAAGCACATGAATTGCTTATGCAAACTACCTAAATTTAATCCTTCCTGGAGAATCGGGCAGGCAAGGCAGTGGAGATGGGAAGAGGGAACTTTTTTCCTGTTTTGCTGATGGTAGCTTTTTTAAGACACACCCCCACACTTCTAAATTTAAAGAGGAGTTGGGCAAGTTTAAGGTTTTGGGCCTGTAGTTGAAGTTAATTACAAGTTTGAGGCTCCTTTTTTATTTTCTTGCAGTCTGACTGAGGAAATGAACCAGAATCAGTCGCGCATCTGTGAGACATAAATCTTTGTTGCTGTATTGATTATTTGGTTTAGTTATAACTGTGAAAGCATGAAGCACTGCAGATCCTAGGAAATACTCAGACCTCCATTGCTCCAAAAATGGGGAGTGTGAGCACTAAGAAACTCTGCCCCTGGAGCTGTTGGTACTGGGATGAAAAATAGCCCTGGGACATCTCAGGAGTGCTTTAACCTGGGTGTTTTTAAGTTATAATCCTCTTCCCAAAGGAGCAGCAGCACAGCATCATAAAATCCTGGAATGGTTTGGACTGGAATGGCCCCTAAAGCCCATCCAGTTCCAACCCCTGCCATTCCAGGGACACCTTCCACTATTCCAGGCTGCTCCAAGCCCCAGTGTTCAACCTGGCCTTGAAATTGCTATTTTTGAGAACACTGGGGAAAAAAAAAAGTGGGGATGAAAATTCAGTAAATGTAAACAAACAATAAAATTAAGCAGAGATTGTTCCTGTCCACAAATTTAAATCTGCAACAGCATTCCTGGAATTGACTGGGTTGGTTTTACACACAAGAGCCATTTAAAAGGCAAAACAAAGTTGTTTGAGAACGGTTGGTTGTTTTTAGGAATAACTTAGATTCATTTTTGCTCTGTCTGAGGTGGCTATATCAGGAATAAACCACTCTCAGGGACTTGCCTGAGCTTACCAGCACCTGGGACAGGCACCTCTTTGCAGTGTGGTTTATCAGCAGTGTCATGCTACCTCTCTGCCTTAAGATACAGGAACGAAATGATTCCAACTTCAGGAACATTTCAATATTTCACCACCCCACATTTTTCCCAAGCAAGTGTGGTTTGCAGTCAGCTGCCCAGCTGGGCTCTGGAGCTGCCTCCTCCCCTGTCCCTGCCTTGCTGCTGCTCAGGATTAGCGTGGTAGTGCCTGGTGTGTGTGCATGTGGGCTGATCCTGCACCTTAACTCAGGGTCAGCCTGGAATTGTTCCCCACTGGCTCTGCCAAGTAATCCCTGCTCTTTGCCTGCCCTCTCTGATTGATTTGATTTTTATTTTTGGTCTGCATTGTCGCTCCTGCTTAACCTGTTTGTGACTGATCTGTCTTATAGGAGAAGTCCCTTTCCTCGCCACAATAGGTATGTCTGAGAGCTGGACATGCCTGGCCCAGGGAGCCTCTTCAGCTGAGCACAGGAAGAATTAGTGCCCTTTTATCCAAATGGGCAGCTGAAGCAGTGCTGTTATTAATGTGTCCATGTCCTCCTCTGGGCTTCTGGAGCAGGCAGGGATCTGGGGGCATGCAGCATTCCATGGATGCACAGTGCAGGTGTTGAGCAAAAAAATGTCAACGTTCTGGTCGTGCCCTGAGTGTCTTTGTCTCACAGGTGTCAAGAGGTCTGTAGGTGTTTATTTGGCATCTGTGTCCCATTCTGGGTGTTTTGGATACACACCATGGCTAAACTAAATCCTGGAGAAGGGGCTTGATCTTGACTAAAAAATCCTCAGTATTACAGCTGTAAAATACCTTATTAACAGTGCCCTGACAGCCTTGATGTCTGGCCCTGCTTTTGCAAGTCAGGGTGAACTTTCCAAAGCACACAACAAAGTCATAAATTCCTCTTTAAAAGACTGATTCCAATAAATGTGCCAGGATCTTACATTTGATTTGTTTGCCGTGTGCTCGGTGTGAAAGGTAATGTGCTTTAGGACAGAAACCATCCTCCCTGACAGAGGATATTGCTAGAGCTGCCCAGGACCTCAGGGTATTCCCACAGAAATACCTGCCTGGGCTTCTCCCTCCTGAAAATCCCCTGGAGAAGATCGTGGTAGACCCAGCTGGGGTGTCATGTTTTATTTAGTGGGGTCACAGGGCCTGGGGCTAAAAGCCTTGGGGCTAAGCTTTGCTTTCCTTCACCTCTGAACATTTAAGGACTGGAAAAAGGGATCTGCTGCTGGGAGCAGGGGTGTGTTTATAGGAGCTGCCCTTGGCTGTGAGGAACTGCTGTGAGCTGGGTGCTGCTTGCAGCCTGTCAGTGCCTCCCAGTGCACTGGCTGTGCAGGGCTTTGGGTTTCACACCCTGCCACCACCCCACACCCAGGGAGCCTTTCCAGAGCCCAGCAGCAGCGTGTTCCCAAACCTGGAGGTGCAGCCATGCTCCAGGTTGTGTTCTGCATCCTGGAGACACAGCTTGGAGCTTTGGGACAGGCTGGATCCTGAGGGCTCAGCCCCATCCGTGGCAATCCCTGCGCTGCTGGGGCTGGTTTGGGGCTGGGGTTGTCCCTCCTCAAGCCCTGGGGTCACCACCCCAGTCCCTCATTTGGGTTGTCCCATCCATGAGTTCCAGACATGTTTAGGGGTCAGGAGGGCACAGCAGACGGAATGTGGGGGCTCTCATGCTTCTTCCCAGGAGGATTTCTCAGGTTTTGTGTCCTCCCCCCATTTCTGATGGACAGCTCTCCATTGGCATTGCAGTAATTGTGATGATTTGTCTGTGAAATAACAAACTTCAAGCACCAGGCTCCGGTAAAGGCAGTGATAAAATGCTGCCATGGATTATTAGCTGCCTGTGTCCTGGGGTGGCTTGTTCTCACATCAGGCAGAGGAATTGCTGGTTCTCTGAGTTCCCAGGACTGGTGGATGGGTGCAGCTAGGAGGAAGAGAGCCACGAGAGCTCCTCCATGAGTTTTCCCATCTGCTGTTGGAATCCACGGTGCTTGTGTGTTCAGTTACCCCCGTGACTGTGGAGGAATGCACGACCCTGCTGAGGGATTGGTGGACATTGTCAGCCTTCCTTTTCCTCCCTAAACATCTCCCAGATCAGCTGCATCTGTCCATGTGGGTTTCTTGCTGGCCAGGGTGCCAAGTGCAGCAGGAGTAGTTGTGGCTGTGCCGAGTGTCCCGGCACGGCTGCCACCATCCGGTGTTCGTGTGGAGCAGGGAAGGTTCTGGACTGCTGGCAGCTGGGTGATGTGCAGTTAAAATTTGTGAATCCTTTCCCTCCACAGGAGGAGGTTTGACCTGCAGAATCCCTCCCGGATGGATCGGAACGTGGAGATGTTCATGAACATTGAGAAAACGCTGGTGCAGGCAAGGACGGGGCCCTGGGCACTCAGAACGACTTCACCCCGGCCCTCTGCAGCAATGGGGGACTCTCCCCTCCCTCTCCCACCCAGTGTAGTCACAATTCCACGTTTTTCACTTGAAAAATGCAGAATGTTTCCATTGGCCCTCTGTGGATATGCAGAGGTTTTCATTTTATTTATTTATGTGAGGAAAACCTGTTGTAAGGAAAGATAAAAGATCCCAGGTGTCCCCCTGTCCCTGGGGAGGTGGCACCCTTGGGGCTGGGTGCCTGCTCCTGAACACATTCCAGGGCTGACTTCCAGTTGGATCTAAAACTGCCTTTTTCAGGTTAACATCCATTTTACTCTCACTTTACCAAACAAGATATTATCTGTACCCATTAAGCAGCTCTGTGGAGTCTCATTTGAAGTTAAATTTTTTAACTGCTTTGTGTGAATAATAGATGATTTTTTTTCAAGCTCTGAAGCCAAGTTCAGTGTATGATGCAGTCAAAACATAACTTTCAGGTGTCCATTAGGAATGGAAACAGGAAGAACAGCAAATAGCAACAATATTCTTATTATAAAAAAAAACCTGGTTCACGTACAGTGGTTTCAGTACATAATAAAGCCTGGGCAGGGCTTTGCTGGGGAGCTGTGTGAAGGGAATGTCCCTGTCCCAGGGCTCCTGGAGCTGGGATCACTGACCTGGGTCACTCCCTGGTCTGGGTTCTGTTGGAGTTCCAGCACTGGGGATTTTTATAGGAATATGCTGATTTTTGCCACAGATCACCTCCTAATTCCTTGTTCAACTTGCTGTTCTCTCACAGAACAACTGTCTGAGCAGACCAACCATCTACCTCATCCCTGACATGGAGCTGAAGCTGGCCAACAAGCTGAAGGACATTGTCAAACGTCACCAGGTGAGTGTCACAGCACAGCTGTACCCTGGGCTGCTCTGCCTTAGCCTGGAGGCTCTGAGGACACAGGCAGCAGCAGCAGCTCCCCTCTGGAATGGTTTTTCTCCTCCCCTGGAGGCTGAAGGCTGGCTGTGCTCTAAAAGCACACCTGGACCTGCTGCCAGATGGCTCTGGCTGAGCTGGGGGCAGCCCCAGCTGATTTATTGTCAGTACAGATTTGGCCAAACCTGGCTCTGAAGCAGGGAGTGAGGCAGCTGTTCCAGATGTGTGGGACAGCAGAAGGAAGCTTCGCTCCTCGAGTGCTCGTTGGTTTCTGCTTTATTTCACTCTTTGATTGCTGGTGCTGAGCAGAGCCCAGGCAGCCTCAGGGAGCCTTGCCCTCGTAATTCCAGGTGCTCAAGGATGACTTGAGCAAGATTAATGGCTTCATCCTTAAAAACATAAACAGTCTTCTCACTTGTCTGGAGAGAAATAACCTGGAATGTGACCTCTGGATGGTCTGATGGCTTTTGTGTCAGGACAATTCACAGCTGTAGCCAAAGAGTTTCTTTTCCAGATTTAATGTATTTCCTGTGTTGTGATTATGAACCATTGTCTCAGCCTCAGTTGGGCAGATTTTCACAAGTTGCTCTTAATGATTTGGCTGATTCAGGATGGGTGTTATTGCTTAAATTAGAGTGAATGAGTCAATTTTCCTTTCATAAAGGAAGTCTGTAGTGAGCTCCACGCTGTATCCATGAGTGATTTAAGGGATTTTTAAAGCAGCTTTGTCTCTACGAGGATGTGAGGAGATGAAAACAGAAATTGTCCCTAATTCTGCTTTTTGGGCTTTCCTTTGCTCTGCCTCTGAATTCTCATCTTGTCACTAACTTTGCTTCCTCACTGTGGTGGTTATTTTCATTTTTTAACCCCTTGCTGTCATTTCCTCACTACCTCATCTCGGTACCTGTATCCCAAGTTCTCCCTGCTCCAACTTCTGTTGTTTCCCAGCTCCCTCCTTTGCTGCTGCTCAGAGCTGCCCCTGTCCCTTTGCTGAGTTGTGGGAACTCTTGTCCTTCAGCCCCTGACCCCAGAGCATCCCACATCCCACTCCCACAGCACCATTCCAATTCCTGCTGCTGCCATCCAAGGGTGGGCTCTGCAGCTCGTTGTGCTGGTAAATCAATCTCTTACGTGTTTATGGGATGTAAGTTTTGAACACCAGCTGCCTTTTGGGGTGATGTGCTGAGGGTTTCTCATGCAGTTTCTCCCCTTCTCCCGTGTTTCCCACAGGGAACAGTCACTGAAGAGAAATCCAAGGCTACCCACCACGTGTATCCAAGTCCTACCTCAATGGATGATGGTAACGTTCTGTGGCACTTTTTAAGTGGGAATAGTTTTGTAATTAATGCCATGAGAAGTTGTGGAAGTGTTCACCAGGACTGTTGCCAGCCTGCTGCTGAGGAACACTTGCTGCAGTGTGGATAATGTGTGTGGGGAGGTTTAGGCTGGATACTGGGGAAGCTCCTCCAGCCCAGGGCAGGGGTGGAGTCCAGTGCCTGGAGGGATTTCAGAGCTCTGTGGATGTGGGACACGGGACAGTGCTGAGGAATGGCTGCACTCTGACCTTGGAGGGCTTTTCCAGCCTCAGCAACTCCCTGATTCCGAGTTCCTGGCTCTCCCGGAATCCTGCAGGGAATGCTGGTGTGTGGGTGGCAAGGAGAGCTCCTCCATGAGGCTTGACTGTGTTAAAGTTCATTCTGCCTGCATGAAGTGCAAGATCTAAAAAAGCAAATTCACAGCTGCCTCTTTTGGCAAATAGCAAAAAACATTTCTTCCCTTTTTCATCTTAAATAAATTCAATTACCTGGTGGGTCATTGTCCTCAAGCCCAAGTTGCTTGAGACAGACAAAAATAAATCCCTTTTCCACATTCCCTGGCCTGTGCTGGCCACTAGATGGAAGTGCTCCCTGCAGTTTGCAGGGATCAGGGATGGTTTGTACCTCTGGCAGCAGCAGCTCAGCCCTGTGTGTGTCCCAGGCTCTGAGCCCCAGGTCACACTGTGGGGAGCAGCCCAAAATTCCAGCAGGGATTAGAGAGACAGGTTCACATCCTTGGGGTTTCTCCTGTAATGCTTCTCTGGGCTCTGCTTTGGGGATTTGGGGTGCAGGGATTGGTACTTGAGAACTGCAGGGATGGGTGGGATATTGGGAAGGAATTCCTGGCTGGGAGGGTGGGCAGGCCCGGGGATGGAATTCCCAGAGCAGCTGTGGCTGCCCCTGGATCCCTCTGACTCTCTGGAAAAGAGAATTGTTGTGCTTTTCCCTCCACATCTGACCTGGATCTCATTCCCTTTGCAGATGAGTGGTTGAGACCTGTGATGAAAAAGGACAAGCAGGTGCTGGTACATTGGGGCTTTTTTCCAGACAGGTAAAAAAAACCCAAAAACTGGGGGGAAAGCAAACCCTGAGTCTTAACTGTTTGTTGATGAAAAAGTCTTGATCCCAGTGTGCTAAGCTCGAAAAGAATTAACCAATGATTTAAAACTGCAATATCCACATCCATTTGTGGCACTGGCAGGTGGGTGAGGCTGGAAAAGGAGTTCTGCAGAACCATAAGGCACTGGCTGGAAATTGAAGCAGATTTTAAAGCTGGAATGAGTCTTTCCTTAAACTTTAAAGGGAGAACTTCCAGTCACCTGGCTGAACTCTGCCAAGGAGATTTCACTCCAAGGGTTGTCTTCAGTCAGGTGCAAGTGACTGTTAAAGCACCCCTTTGAGAAACCTGCCCTGTGCTCTTGGAACATGTTAAAATTCAGTGTATATGCTGATAGGAATTCACTGTATTTGCAATAACTGGTTTCTGAGCCCAGGCTATGGAAGATCAAAACATTGATAAGCCAGTATTGACTTCTGTTTAATTAAGTTTTTCAGGCCACTAAAATCTGTTCACACACCAAATTACTAGGCACTCTATCTCACATGGGGCTTTCAATGGAGGAGAGCAAACAGTAATTAGACTGAAGTTTTCTATTCATACAGATGAAGAGCCTTTAAATATTTTTTTATTTCTGTCAGTAGTCAAGCTTTTATTGGTGTTTTTAAACCAGGTACACACAAAACAGTATAAAGCCAGGAATGCTTTGTGCACATCTCTCCTTGCACCTGACTCCTCCCTGGTCCTCAGCACCTGCTGTTGCTTACAAAGGACTTTGGCTTTGCTGTCGCTCAGTGCAGTTTGTTAATAAACAGACTTTTGAGGGAATCATGTGGAAGAGTGAATATAAATAATGAATGGATTCTAGGACGGAGTGCAACTTCCTCCCTTCCAGGAATCCAGTAGCTCTTGCTTTGAAGTCACAAGAACAGAAAGAAGTGAATTAGGGCAGGGTTTGGTTGGGTGACTCAGAGCTGCCTTTGCCCCCTGAATCTCTCCACACTTGCACTTGGAGCTGGTTCACTGGGAGGATTTTTACATCCTGATGTGCATTAGATGCCCCAGGACCCTCCCTGTGCCCAGTTCCTGTGGCACAGAGCAGGATTGTTCCCCGTGGGAAGCCCTGCCGTGCCAGCAGTGAGATCTGCACGTGCCAGAGCTGCTGGAAAACCATTGCTGGTGTTCCTGGTGGCTGAGCTGCTCTCTCTGACCCCTCCCCAGCTACGACACCTGGGTCCACGCCAACGAAATCGATGCAGAAATTGAGGACGCCCCGATCCCTGAGAAGCCCTGGAAGGTGAGTCTAGCTCAGTCCTTGGAGGTGAGTCTGTAACCCACTGGAAAACAAGATTTTGGGGTATAAACCTTCCTAAGAATGGTCAGAGAGAATTGTGTGAAGTATTAATAAATCAGTAATAGATTGTATAAATGACCCTAAAGCACCAGAAGGTTTTTCAGCCATGTGAACCAAATTATCTAAAGGTGGATGTTATAACCCTGACAGTTGGTTTTGTCCCTCCAGGGAATGACCAACTCTTCCTCACGTTTTGGTGTTTGTGGCACACCTGCCAAGGGGATGTGTGTATTTAGGAGGTTTTGATGGCAATTTTCAGCATCCAAAGAACACTGGTAACCCAGAGCTGCTGTCCCAGCTCTCAGAACTGACCTCACGCTTCAGGAGACCTGAAAATGCTTGAGGAGCAGAGGTTGAATTCTGAGTCCTGTTCATCCCTTGTGGTCCTGCCTTGTGACACTGCCACAGCATGTGTGAAACCAGAGGGATTGAGACATTCAGACCTGATAAAGCTCTGGGAATGTCCTTAATCTTGGGCGGTCTCTCATGGAGTGATTTCTTCCCAAAGCATCAACCTCCCCGTGTCTCCTGTCGTGCAGGTTCATGCCAAGTGGATTCTGGACACGGATGTGTTCAATGAGTGGATGAATGAGGAGGATTATGAGGTGGATGAGAACAGGAAATCCGTGAGCTTTCGCCAGAGGATCTCCATGAAGAATGAGGAGGTGAGTGGTGCTCTGCCGAGGGGAGCCTGGGGGGACAGGAACGTCCTTTATCTCTGCATGCAAAGAGCTGGAAAAGGGAGGGATCCAGGGAGAGCTCAGAGCCTTGCCAGGGCCTGAAGGAGCTCCAGGAGAGCTGGAGAGGGACTGGGGACAAGGGATGGAGGGACAGGACACAGGGAATGGCTCCCACTGCCAGAGGGCAGGGATGGATGGGAGACTGGGAGGAATTCCTGGCTGGGAGGGTGGCAGGCCCTGGCACAGGGTGCCCAGAGCAGCTGTGGCATCCTGTTTTGGGGTGGGCTAAGGAAGGATGAAGCCTCCAGCTCTGCAGTGGGAGAATTTGGGAGTAACTCAGAACTCTGCTCCCTCCCAGCCCGTGCGGAGCCCTGAGAGGAGGGACAGGAAAGCAGCAGCCAGCACAAGGAAAAGGAAACATTCCCCTTCTCCACCCCCCACTCCTGTGGAGTCCAGGAAAAAGACAGGGAAGAAAGGGTGAGTGTCTGGAGGTTTCCAGAGGCCTGGAATTTGAGGTGAAAAGAAATGAGGAAAAGAAGAAATTCAAGAAATGTTTATGGGGAGAGCTCTGTGACCTGGGGTTCTCTAATTATTTCTGGATAGGCTTGAGGGATTATTCCTGAGGAGTATGTGCAATTCCGTATTCTACCAGTATTTTACACAAAGAAAAACTTAATTGCTATTAATGAAATAGTAATAAGGAAGTTTTTAATAGTAATTAAAACTTAATTACTAACTATGGGGTATTATGTGTGGGTGTGGAGGGGAGCACTTCAAAGCTAAAAATTCAGGGCTTGTTTATGTACTCTAATAAGACAAAACTGGAATTTTATCAAGAATGAATGTGAATTCCTCCTTCCAAGTGTAAAGCCTGACTTGGAGTCTGTGAGGAGATGTGGGGCTGGTTCTGCCTCTGTTCCCAGAGTGGTTTCAGGAGGGTTTCACCCTCCTGTCCTGGCACCTGAGCATCGTGCAGGAACATCTGGCACAGCCCCTGTGTCTGCTCTGTTCCAGCCAAGCTGCTCTCTATGGCAAAAGGAGGGGACAGAAGGAGGAGGATGAGCAGGAGGATCTCACCAAGGACATGGAGGATCCCACCCCAGTACCCAACATAGAAGAAGTGGTACTTCCCAAAAATGGTAAAATACGAAAACACTTTGGGCTCTTTGAATGTTAGAAATGAAACCACATTAAAATTGTGTATACATTTTGTCAAATCTTTGAAATACTCCGTGGCCATGGGGCAGGTGGTCTCTGCCCATAAATTTATCTGGTCAGACATGTAACAGCTCAAAAGGGCAGCAGTGTCACCTCCTTTTGGCCTTTCAAAATACAAAACTACATTTATAAAAGACACTTCTAAAAATAGATTTGCAATGATCTGCTTAGATGTTTCATTTCACGGGCTCATGCTGGGGGAAATGGAGTTTTCTGGAGCAAAGTATTTCCCTGCCAAGCCCCCAGAAGAAGGATGTTAAATGGGTGGAAAATGTGCTACGTGTCAAGTGCTTTTAGTCCTTTTCTGGGAAGTGTTGGTGTGGGCAATAATAAGTCTGGGAAAAAGAATTCCTTGTGCATCCCTGGCCCCAGATAATTGTGGAGTCTCTCCATGTGGGTGTTCTTGGTTTGGATCTGCACTGCAGCCTTGCTGTGTGTTGGGCAGGCGGGGAGGAGCGGGGCTGTCCTGCTCTCTGTGCAGCTGGCAGTGCAGGGCAATGGCACAGACGGGCCCTTGTGCTGCCTGGGAACTCCTGAGCTGCAGACAGAGCCCAGGGAAAGCAGGCCAGGCTCAGAACTCCTGTCTGCTGCTCTCTCATCACTCCTGTTCTTGCAGTGAACCCAAAGAAGGACAGTGAGAACACGCCCGTGAAAGGAGGAACCGTGGCAGACCTGGGTAAAGCCCCTGCAGCCCCAAGCCTCACCCTCACATCCTGCTTGCAGTCCATCTTTTAAAATATATTTGAAGTATTTCTAAATCCCTCCATTTAAAAAGCAATCTCTACTTCTGCTATTTGGTTGAATTAATTCATATTTCATGCATATTCGAGTTCCGTCGTACCTGCTCTTCATTGCAAGGCTGTTTCATCATAGGCTACTGTTATTTTTATTTTTTTAACATGACATACAAGCTCTTTTCTAGCAGATGTTTTTTTTAACTGGGAATCAGGGTAATCACAGGTTCCCTGAGCTTTGACACGAAATACAAACTTGTATTCTGTGTCTTATTACACAAGAGTCATCCAGACACTGAGAAAGGAAGTAATTAATTATGCATCCTGAAGTGTTGAGAAATTCTAAATATCCTTTCTCTGTATTCTTACCTGTTTCCTGGTCTGGGATAGGTAAAGGTGTAATTGCTTTAGTTATATGGGATCCACTTTGTTTCCCCCCTCCCTTCCCTTCCAAAAGAAATTAAATGCCCTTTCCAGTTAAATTGTTGCGTTGCTGGAAGGGCTCGTGAGCATTTAAATGAGTTTATTGGTGTAATTCCCAATGTTTTTACCTTTCAGATGAGCAGGATGAGGAGACAGTGGCGACTGGAGGAAAGGTAACAGCACCTGCTGCTTCCTAAATTTGTTAACAACTGAGATTGTACAATCCCACATGGTTTGGGCTGGAAGGGACCTTAAAAAACACCCAGTGCCACCCCTGCCATGGCAGGGACACCTCCCACTGCCCCAGGCTGCTCCAACTGTCCAGCCTGGCCTTGGGCACTGCCAGGGACCCAGGGGCAGCCCCAGCTGCTCTGGAATTCCATCCTGGCCCCTCACCAGGAAGATTTCCTCCCCAGTATCCAACCCTGCCCTCTCTCTCTTTGAAGCTGTTCCCTGTGTCCTGTCAATATTTTAATCTCACCTTCAGCAACTTCACCTGAACTCATTTTCCAGGGATCTGTAAGATTAAATCAGTTACTGACAGAATTGAGGGTTTGTTAGTATAAAACTCTCCAGATTCTGTGGCATGACTTGATATTTTTAAATCTAGTGTATTAAAAAGGAGAATGAGGGGACAGATGCCAAGTGTTTTCCAAGAAACATTCTTCAGATGAGAGGTTTTTCAGAGGTTTTGCTTTGTTTTTTAGGTTTTAAGACTAAATCTAAACCCTGCTTTGGCTTCCTGATCATTTCAATAGAGCTGCAGGGTAGTTTCTGTATTGAATTGCATTTGTGGCACGCCAGGCACTATTTTTAACAGATGTCAGCTCACTGAACGTGCTCAGAGTGGTACCTTGTTGTCTTTGGGGGAGCTCAGATAAAGACCTGATCACAGATACAGATCCATTATTGACACCAGTGACTCCTCAGGGTGTGCCTGTGGGACTTGGCTGTTTTTAACGTTGCTCAAACAACACCTGAGGCGTTTTGTGCAGTTCTTGACATATCCTGACCCCGTTTCACTGCCTCCTCTGTGCCCTCCTCACCATCACTTGGGGTCAGGACTTGGAACTTGAGTTGCAGGAGAGCAGCCGTTCACAGGAGGCTTGGGTGCAGAGGGCCCAGAGCTGTCCCTGCTCTGGGGGTGTCCCAGGAGGTGGCCTTGGGGAGCTCCTGTCCTGCCCTCACCCTGCTGCGTGTCCCCCCAGGAGGACGAGGACCCCAACAAGGGCGACCAGAGCCGCTCCGTGGACGCGGGGGAGGACAACGTCACCGAGCAGACCAACCACATCATCATCCCCAGCTACGCCTCCTGGTTCGACTACAACTGGTGAGGGTTGGGCTGCCAGGGCTGCCAGGGGTGCCAGGGGCTCACGTGCCACGCTGGCTGCTGCTGCTGCTGCCTGTGGCTCCTTCCCCTTGGAGCATCTCCTGAGGAAGGGCTGCCTGGCTTGCACACACAGCACGCTCACAGGAGAGGCAGGAGGGCTTTTGTAGGGTCACTTCCAGCCAGGTTTGTTTCAGCACACCCAGGGGAAATCAGGGACAGAGGACCAGATGTGTGGTGGGCACCAGGTTAAGCATGGGAGGGCACGGGACTGGCACAAAGGGCACTGGGCTGCAGGGAAGACAGGGCCAGCCACCAGGAATACCACAGCCAACGAGGGAACAGGGAAAGGGAGAAACCACCAGAATTTGGGAGATTTCAGGGAAGGAGCTGGAGTGGTTTGTGGTATTGTGCAAGACTCCATGGGGAAGTCTTCTCCTTCAGCCTAGGTTGGGAAAAATCTATGGCAAATTCTTCCAAGGCAAGGCTCTGGGGATTCCCCTGAGAGGGAAGGATTCAAGATTCCACAACAGCCCTGGGGATTCCTCTGAGGGGGAAGGATTCAGAGGATTCCACAACAGCCCTGGGGATTCCTCTGAGGGGGAAGGATTCAGAGGATTCCACAACAGCCCTGGAGATTCCTCTGAGGGGGAAGGATTCAGAGGATTCCACAACAGCCCTGGGGATTCCCCTGAGGGGGAAGGATTCAGAGGATTCCACAAGCAGGCTTCATTTAGTTTTGTTTTCTCACCCATCAGCCTGGGAGCTGAAGGAAGTGATTCTTGTTTAGGTCTGGTTCCTGTGATTTGTGCTGAAATTTTTCTGGCCCTTCTCAGGGGTTGGGAATGAGGAAGAGAATTTCAAGCAGCAGAGATCTTCACTCTGCCTCCTCAGCTGGTTTTGCTTACATTGATTTCCCTGTAATTCCCACCTTAATTCCTTTCTCTCTTTTACTTCTCTACTCATTGTCTGACCATTCTGTGTTTATCTCTACTACTGAAAGCCTTTTAATTTTGACTTGGACGAGAAGCCACTGATTCCAGAGGGAGGACATTTGTTGCAGCTGGGAAGTCTCCTTGGAGTCAGGGCTGTCTCAGGATCTGATGCCTGAACTGCTTTTGTTGCAGCATCCACGTGATTGAACGTCGTGCACTTCCAGAATTCTTCAATGGGAAAAACAAGTCCAAGACTCCAGAAATGTGAGTAAAACCTGGGAAATGGGCAGTGACAGTGTAACAGAATAAAGGAGCTTCCCATTCCATAAATCCTGTGGACACAGCTGGGTGCGTGTGAGGCTGGTACTTCCTGCAGGGCCTGAAAGGGGGACAGAGCCACTGACAAGGTTTGTACATTGCTGTGGTAAAGGTAAAAGTTTCAACACCAAAGTGGAATTTACCAGTGGTTATTCAGGGAAAATAAAACTACTTTCCCCCAAGTAACACTGGAACAAATTATTCAACTCTGTGTGCTACAAGATGTGATCAACTCCCAAAGTCATGTTAAAATGTCATGAAAGGGTAAAAGTGGAACAGTCCTCCCTATTCCTCCCTCTCTCCTCATGCCATGCTCCATTTCTGTATTTCTGTGTGTTGTAGAGCCTGTCTCAGGCTGTGGAGTGAATTTTCTGTTCTGAGTTTGGTTATTCAGAGTGATCTTGAAAGGGCCACGGATAAAGCAAATATAGTCAAAGGGTTTTAAGCAATATGCTTGTTTCTCTTAAAATGAGCCTAAACCCTGAGATTTCACATCAAAAAATCCTGGGTTTGGACACCAGTGTGTGATGGTCAGTGTGGGCAGTGGGACTGGCCTGGTTGGGGTCACTTGGTCCTGCTGTCAAATCTTGGCTTGGTTCCAAAGCAGCTTTTGAGGATTTTATAAGGAGTTTTTTTAAAATCAAGTACTATAGGAAGTGTCTGAGGTGTCTCCTCATTGTCCTGATGTCATCTGGGCCCTTCATTGCTCATACACAGTATTCCTTGGAATCCTGGAATGGTTTGGGCTGGAAGGGACCTTAAAAAACACCCAGTGCCACCCCTGCCATGGCTGGGACACCTTCCACTGTCCCAGGCTGCTTCAATGTGGCCTTGGGCACTGCCAGGGATCCAGGGGCAGCCACAGCTGCTCTGGGAATTCCATCCCAGCCAGGAATTCCCAATTCCCAGTCTCCCATCCATCCCTGCCCTCTGGCA